GTCTGATGATATGCTTGAATGAAATCCTCTGCATCCCACCAATGTATGTAGGATGTCATTTTAAATTACGATTGCATTGTCAAATGACACGCTTAAATGCAACCCTTTGCATCCTAACAGTACTTACAATAGTTCATTTTAACATGCAATTGTAATGTTAAATGATATACTTGAATGAAAATTTTTGTATCTTATAAATGCACGCATGAGGTCATTTTAAATTGTGATTGCAATGTCAATTGACATGCTAAAATGAAACTCTCTATGCATTGCCAATGCATGCATATTTTAATGCAAGAGAGGTGTTTAGCATGAATTATTATGCCCGTTATATTGCATTTATGAGGGCATTTTAAAATATTTGACACTAATCAATTGCGCGGGCAACTATCATTTGAAGGTGCACAAAGTTATATTTATAAGCTTGTAGATGTTTTCTATCTGCTTGCACGAATGTTGCAGATCCAGTGATGCGGCATGGTGCTTCAGTGGCCCGTTTTTACTATTGATTCCTTATTTTTTCTTACAGGTGAATCATAACGTTGCACCTAGAATAGCCATATGATACTTTATTATTCTGAAACAAGCTCCATCTTCTCGTCCTTCAAGAGATCAGATCTACAAATCCTCAAATCCTTAGATTTGACAAGGACTTCCTCGAATTCTCGAATCCTCTTAATGGAGCATAATAATTAGCCATTTGGTGACTATGTCAACAAGGTGACAATAAAGACATCAAGTCTATCTAGAACCTAATCATGTCACCCTATTGAGAAGGATGTGATCTATCTTGTAGAAGAAGATGAACTCTGAGAAAATCATGATGACTATTATCGGTGGTCACTGGGTAATGCAAGGTGGTCGATAGTTTGATAAGTAGCAAGTTGAATAAATATTATATTTCCTTGGAGATTTCTTAGTGTCTAAAGTGGGAATAAGGATGTAATACCTAGAGCTAGATTACCTAGATTATGAAAAACCTAGTTCCAACAAAAAAAGAGATATTGACCCTTCTTTGACCTACTCAGGGAGATTACGTTGAGAGAAGGGATACAAAATTAAGGCTCAATAGTGACTAAATAAGAGAGGTTGGCACCTAATACAATAGGTAGATGAGTGTGTTTAGGGGTTAACTTTCTCGTGGGGATGATTGATTGTGGATCATTATCACTCTCATTGGCCTTACTATAGTAAGTTGAGGTTGGCATGTAGAGAGAACAGCGGAAAGCTCTAGCTAGTAGTCTATGGCTATTGCCAAGAATCCTTCGCTTCACCTTTGGACTTTCCAAGTGTCATGCACTAAGATCACTCATTGAAGATGATTCTCTAACCTAGGAAAATCTGACTAACTATACGGTTGCGTTGACAAAATTTATACATGATCGTGGAGTTAAACACTCAACTATCGTGTTACCCTTATTTTTAAGTGGGGAAAAATGTATACATGATCGTGGAGTTAAACACTCAACTATCATGTTACCGTTATTTTTAAGTGGGGATAGACAAATTTTCCTAGTCTTTGTTTCCCTTAAGAATGAAAATGAAATGATCATGGAGACAGAAAGGCATTGACACATAACTTGAAATGCATTACAGGCAAAGGCCAATAGCTTTAGAGTTTTTGGAAAGAATAATCCAATGATCATCTAGGAACTTGAAAATTGTGTAGAAAAAACTAGTAGCCCATCTTGGGAGCCTAATCACAAGTAGCAATAGTAGATCAAAGGGATGGTTTTTTACTTAATTTAAGATGTTGGCCAGGATGCCAATAGTTGTCGAGTAAGGGCTGACTAATAGCTAAGTCCAAAAGGAGGTCAACCTATCAATTTAAAATTATCATGAATAAAATTGTATTATATCTTATGATAGATAAAAGCTAAAATTAGTCTTATAATTAATTTAAGAAATCTAATAACTACCAAATAAAACAATTTATTTTATATTTTATATTAATTGAATAATCATAGATAAACAAAAGTATCTTGAAATTGATATTTCACCTTATGTAAGGTAAGGTATTACTAATGGAATACACTTTCATTTTTTCAATTAAATATTTCAATAATAAAAAAAAAAAAACATAGTGAATATCAAATTTATCATTTATGTTATTTAATTATGAGAGACTATAATGACGAGTACCCAATATATTGCATTAGATATTATATACATTTGATATATATATTTTTAATTAGGTGTTTTACAATAATAGAATTAAGAATTATGCAAATTAAAAACTACAAAATATTAAATTGATAGTTTCATAGATTTTCGAGATGTGGATGTTATGTAAGAAATTACCCCGAATTTAAAATTTTAGAGATGACATCATTTTCAAATAATCCCTCTTATAATTATGGAGTTTCAGATAACTTTTTTCAAGTAAAAAAAAAATGTTTCAAATTGGCAGAACTACCAAAATCCAACATCTATTCACCATGTAAGATCATGGGCTAAGCTGTCATGACTTAAGTTTCGTTTGCGACAGCTTTTTTATTGCTTTTTTAAAAAAAAATTAGTGCTAAAAAACTACTTTAAGAAGCAATAAAAAATCATCTCAAGCGAAGCCTAGATATGTAGATAGGCAGAACGTGAGAGGCACCATTCAATAAGAACTAAACAAATCAATTACCAGACCAGCTAACAAGGAGAAAAAATAGCGCAACTAAGTCCCCCAGCCTATTAGCCAAATGACAAACACACAACATAGCAGGAGACCTTGAATTACAATCCATGAATTTGACAACTTATTCAAGAAAACACTTTACAAGAAGATCACACAAAGATCTCACTGCCTAAAAGTAGTAAACCGTCTCCCCTGTAATCTGTGTAAAGTATACCACAGCAGCAAAGGCAAAGCAGATTTTTATTGGCATACACTTAGGCTTCATTTGAGGCGGCTTTTTTTTTGCATTTTAAAATAGCTTTCTAGTATAAAAATTTCTTGAATTTGAAATTTTTGTTATAAAAAGCCATTTTAAAAAGCAGTACGAAAGCTGTCTCAAACGAAACTTTAAAGAGATCAAAATGCTTTTCATCTTGGAGTAGTTCATCCACTCATTGTAGTCTATCAACCAGACCGATTGGAATTGCAGCTGAGGATTGCTGGTAAGAAGTCAATGATGTGTCCATGATCCTCGCTCGCGGCTCGCAGGACCGAATACAGCTACTTGTTTGTTGCAGAAGCTGGACTAATGACAGAAATATATCCATTCTTGTAACATCTCTGTTTGCCTGCAAAAAGAAAGAAATGAGATCATTGATGATTTGAAGAAATAGACACAACATGGTTAGATGTGGAGTAACTATGCCATGCACCTCAACAATGAACCTTGCCCAAACTTTTCTTCCACGATTTTCCATTACTCCTTTCAGGATGGTCAATCCGAATCCTCGAACAACATCGGCAATCTCGAGAAAAAAACCTCGTTCTTCGCAGAGCATCTGTAAAAAACGTGCATTATGTTTGGGATGAGGATGAGGATGGGGATGAAGTTGGTAAAAGAATGGAATATATCTGGGTGTCTCAAAATTATTAGATTTGTTTTGAGATAAGTGTAATTAAAATTTTGATTAGAACTAATGGCTTTGAGAGCTATTCTAACTTATATTTTATTTGGGAATCAAATTTTGATTAGAATCGAGTTTCGTTTGGGACGACTTTCTTAAAACAGCTTTTAGTACAAAAATTTTAATTTTTGTATTAAAAAGTTATTTGAAGAAGCAGTAAGAAAATCGTTCCAAACAAAGCCTCACTCTCAAGTCATAAATCTGAACTGTTTGTTTTTCTACCTCAACAAGCATTTGCCCAGAAGGGTGAAGATCCTCAATTAATATTGGGCAAACCATGGTTTGGCCAGCTACTTCATAGGCCCAAGTTGCACCACCAAGACCTCCATTTGTATTGTCTTTTAAGACAACCCCACTCTCTTCACCAATGATCTACATATCATCAATAGCCAAAACAAATGTAGTATAAGAGTAACAATTTGAAAGAAAAGCATAAGCTTGGCTGAGAGGACAGTCATACCTTCGGCTCATCGACATGTTTGAGTTTGTTGGCATACTTTGTAACACTTTGCAAGAAAAGCAAATGCCTAATCGTCCGGTCCAACAAAGCATCAATGCTACACTGTTATATCAAATAAAGGGTCTATTGGTCAAATGAAATATTACAACAACAACAATAACAACAAGTCTTTATCCCACTACGTGGGGTCGGCTACATGAATCTTTTTTTCTACGTTGTGTCCTATTAAAAGTCAAATTCTCGTTTAAATCTAACAGAGAAAGATCATTTATAATATTTTATAACCAAGTCTTTTAGATCTGCCTCTACCTTTCTTAACATAAGTCAAATCTATTACATCTACTTTCCTAGCCAGGTCATCGGAAGGCCACCATTTTATGTGACCAAACCATCTAAGGCGACTCTCTCTAATCTTATCTTCTACTGGAGCTACTCCAACCTTTTCACGTATATGCTCATTTCATATCCTATCTCTAAGGATAAAGCCACTCATCCACCTGAGCATCCTCATCTCTGGTCAAATGAAATATTGCTATGAGAAAATTTCCAAAGAAGATTTACAATATGCACCTTTGCACCATTAGGAACAATTTCTCGCAGCTCCTTTACACGATCTTGTATTTGTTGTCGATCTTTTGGCCTCGGTCGGGTGCTCTCGCCAGGCCTGGCCCTTTTTCGAATTACTTTTGCTGATTCTTCTGTTTTCTTTGTCTGATTAAATGCAGAACCTTCGGCATTGACATTACAATTGTCAAAAATCCAAGCGCAGAGATTAGGCTTTGGCTCAACACTCTTTGGTGATCCTAGCATCAGCTTTTCGCTATTCCATTCAGGAAGTGAAACTGGAGGTGTCTGAATGAGTGAAGGATCAGCAACTGGATGATGGTTTGCTTGTGCATCACTGACTTTTGTTGGTAATTGATGTTTTGAATCTCGATTAGAAGCAACATTAGTCTTTTTCCTAACAGAGTTACAGCTAGAAGAGAGATTAGAATTTCCAGAAACTACAGCATCCAGTAGCTGTTCAAGACTAGAGTCTGAAAACAAATCTTTGCCAGCACCTGTAACTGAGCCCATTTCCATTTCAGATATGCAATTATTGCTGACAATTGGCAATACGATGTCATCCCAGCACTCTTGTCTCAAAATCATTGGACTAAGATCCAATTCCATGCCATCAAACAAGTCATTATCTGAAACAAGCTTGGTTGAAGCATTCGAGGTGCTTTCATTCCAATTACTGCTTCTATCCAGAGAGGAAGAAACGCATACAGATATACTATTAGGATATTCTGCTGCAGAGCCATTATTGACCTGATTATCTGTTTGGTGGCTCGAATCGATATGATTATTTAGGGGTTTATCATGTATATGTTGAGTTTCTAGTTCATTAGTAGAGTGAGCCAACGCAGAGTTTTCAGGATTTAGATCATGAGAAATGAGAAAATTTTCAGGTAGTTCAGGAGTGAATGGAGAAGCGTTTGATGAGGATTTAACGGTGGATAAGCCACATAAAGAAACAGGTGGTGAAGAACAATGCTGGAGCTCTTGTAAATTTCCTGCACCATCAAGGCTGGGTACACTTGTATTAGAAGATATACCGCCTCTGTCCAACATTGCCTGTGGCCCAACTATGCCATGCATCAAAGTTGAATTCTGATAAACATCAAATGCATCTGAGCGGGTAGTAGAAGAATCAAAAGTTGTTGGAATCATGTTGAAAACCCCTGGCATGGTTATCCCAGGGAATGGTTTATGCTCCATACAAGAAAATGAACTGGTTTCTTTAGCCCGTGTGTTAGATTTGAAGTAGGTGGGAAGTAGATTACTTGGAGATTTGCAATTGCCGCCGTTGTTGGGTGGCAACAAGATTTGAGCTTCAGTCAAAGCTTCCTGTTGGCTTGTGAATTTGTGTGTTGTGCTGTTGACGGAAGGTGTTTCATGGAATAGGTTGTGAAAACAATTAAAGGAACTTGATGAAGAGGATGCGATAGGCATTGAAGATGCATGAGGCTTCAGGCTGCATGTTTGAGATCTTGTACCAATTTGAGATCCCATTGAGAGAAATCCTGAAGCTAGAGATGAATATTCTAAAGATAAATGGTTTTCCTGTCTCTGTTTCCAGGCATCATCACGCCATACATTGTCCTTGAAATTAGATGAGCTCAGAGAAGAAATCACAGAAGCAAATGTTGCTTGTGGATAAGTGAAGTTCCAATCTACGTGATCATATCCAACTTCTCTGATTCCAAGCTGACGAAGCAAATGCTGAGCTTGTCCTACGAAGTTTGAACTTTCATAGATCTAGATAAGAAAGAAAATTAGGACATGTTAAATAATATAAACACATAAAATAGAAGACATGAGTATTTGCTTATTTTGAAAGACACAAGCTATATAGAAAGTTCAAAAATGCAGAGTATTGACCACTCCAATTGATCCAGCACAAAAAGAAAGCTCGTGAAGGAGAATTATTGTGTAATCCAGCTCAGCCTAGAAGGCTAGATGGTATGCTGAACTACCCGACTATACAAAGGTAAAATATTGCATTTGCACTCAGCATAATTAGACAGTTATCAGAAAAACCAAGAGCTGGTCAGATGAAGAATGAGCTGGAACCCAAGATGAGCGAAGATCTTTTACAAGATTAGATTTTTTTTTTTTTTTTTTTTAATAACTTAGAGGGGAGCTAAATGAATCTCTTGGAAAAGCAGCAGTCACTGCAGTCCGTTTTAGTTAAGGGCCTCCACTCCAAAATCAGAATACATGTACATGACTAAAACCACAACGTTAATTTGGTTAAAATGCCAGGAGCAATGATGGACACAAGATTTGAAAATAATCTATATATGAGGAAAAGCACCAGAACACAAGGAACAAGAGAATCACGTGGCTCAACATAGTTTGTGTTATAATCTGGACTGAATTGGTCCACTCATTTTGAATCGAGTAAAATGACCGCTCCTTCATGCAATCGGGCCAAACCCTTCCCAAACTATGTCTTCAAGCCTAGCTTCCTGTACCAGCTATATCTCCAATCGTGCAAATCACACACGATTTTACCCGTCTCGTGTGATTCTCCCACCCTCGACACCGACTTCACTCACGATTTAATGAGGACCTAAGGGCATCATTATTCTCTCAAATCTCCTCCCTCTCGCAGCGGCCAAACCTCTCTCAGCCACTATCATTGAAGGCCCTGAGCTTTCTTTCTTCTTCAAGAGTAGAGGATCACCCTCATTTTGTTGTTCTTCCTTGGTCAAGAATAATCAATAGTAAAACATCTTATTCCCCATCAAGTGAAGGGTAATTTATAATCTCCTCTTCTTCCTCATCATTATCTTCTCAAGTTACACGCAATTGTAATGGTTTAAAGTTTATTATGCTTTCATGTACTATACATATAGGTATGTATTTATATTAGATTGTATGATTAAATTATTAGCAAAAGATATTATATGTTAATGTAATTTATTCAACTTTTTTTGAGGTAACCTAGGTTAGGTTATGCTTAATTCCATAATGAACCATTTAATATCTTTTTATGCGTCTTTGTAATTTAGCCAAAGTTTACATTGTTTAATTACGCGTAATTCTATAATTAATCATTTTAATATCTTTTAATGTGTCCATGTTATTCTCTCAACTCTCTTCCCACTCAGTTCATTCTCTCTCTCTCTCTCTCTCTATTCGTCACTTTCTTCTGTAGTCGCTATCAATGAAGGTCCACAGCTTTCTTTCTTCTTCGAGAGTAGAGAATCTTCCTCATTTTCTTCTCGTTCCTTGGTCATGAATCGCCAATAGCAAAACATCTTCTTCTTCCCCTTCAATTGAAAGGTAACTACTAACCTCCTCTTCTTCCTCATCATTATCTTCTCAAGTTACTCACAATCGTAATGGTTTATCCTAGGTTTATGTTTTAATGTAACTATACATAAATTTATGTATTTATATTAGATTTAATGATTAAATTATTAGCAAGAGATTACTATAAATTAATGTTAAATTATTCAACTTATTATTGTGGTGACCTAGGTTAGGTTACGCCTAATTCTAAATTAATCATTTTAATATCTTTTCATGTGTTCTTGTAATCTAGTCAAAGTTTACATTGTTTAAGAACTATAAATTGATACCATCTGGTGTTGCCTTTTCGGAGTCTAGGAGAGCCTAGATTTGAATGTTATAACACGTAGTAAGTAATTATTATTTATTAATCAATAAACATATCATTCTTTGTCAGGAGCATTTTTCTTATTACTTATCTTAGGTTCCTAAATATTATAGGTTATCAATTTGTCTTTCAATATTTATTTGTTACTATTCACAAGTAGATTTTGTTTATTGGCATAATGAAAATCATGATGTAAAACTAATATTACCTTAATTTATTGTGGCACAAGCACTTATCCATTTAATTTAATTCCTATTGTAGAGAATTTAATTCATGCACATTAGTTCAATTAAATCAATAAATAAAACTCCTGCAAATTATATTAATTGTAGAATTCATAAATATCATATTGATTATATGATACATATTGAAAACTTACTAATGAAAACATAAAAAATGTATGCATATGTCCAATAGTATGCAAGTCGGTAGAACCTTATTGGATATTGTTAAGTTGGCTGAAGAGTTATGACTTCATAAGAAATTATTGAATTTCCTTAGGTCGTTATTTACCTTCCCAGTGCAAGATGTTTGAGAAAATCGATTATATATATATATATATGAATGATTGATAAGTTATATTGTTTTTCTATGATTTGAGTAGTTATGATAATGAAATGAAATTTTATTGTTATTGTCATTGGTTACTCTGATATTTTTGTTACATTATCTATTTATGCAATTTCTTCTTTTGAGCACAAAATAGGTTTCGCTTATCTCTTTATCACATTCCGTATTACTGAGGTGCACTATCATTGGGACTTAAGGTGTGATAATTTGTCAATGCCCATGACCGTTCAAAGAGATGCTTTCACTCATTTTGAGTGTGAAAATGAAATCCTAAGAAATTGAAATTTTTGTATTGATTTTTAACCACAGCTAACCAAATGACAATGTAGAAAATCCATTGTTTCTCAAAATAGGTTTTCTGACTTCAAGCAATCAAATCAGACCAAAAAAAAAATCTTAAACCACAATGGATTGTGAATGGAGGAAAGTACTAAAAAAGTATAAAATCATTCTTGGGCCAGACCGTAATAACGTAATATCTAATTCTTTAACTTTAACTTCATATAATCTAGACTAACAAAGGAAGATATGAAATGCTGGCGAAACACACCACATGAAACGTAAATAATCGTAGCATTTCATGAAATGTAAATGTCTTCATCGGTTTCAAAGACATTACTATCATCCTATGCAACAATAAAATTTTAGGGTTTATTTAGATTTAGCTTTTGAATCCTCAATTTTCATATCTTAGTTTTTTTTTCTTTCTAATCCATTGACATCAGTTTTATCTATTTGTCTAACAAGTATATTTAGTATATTTTATTGTACATGTCCAAAATATTGAAGTCTATTTCAATTATATATGTTGTCTTCAATAAATGCCACTCCAAACATATCTCTAATATAATCATATGTTAACTTCTCACTTCAAGTTTCGCAACAAATATATCATAAAATTATAATTTGGGCCCAACTTGTCTATCAATGACCTTTTTAATGTTCTATCACTTATGACCCATACAATAAAGAAGGATTAATATTAATTTTATAAAAAAAATTCAAGCCACCATGATATTCTCTTATTACATAACATTCTTGGGGAACTCCTTCACATCAAGACCAAAACTCTCAGAAGCTAATTTTGTTTTAATATTAACCCTAATATTTCCTCTGAAAGTCATTAGCATTATTTCACATGTCATTGTTAGCACAATACACATATTGTTTTATCCCACATGTACACTCTCCCATTTCTCTTTCTCTTTTACACTTATATAAGTCCTGTAACCAATACCCTGAAACAACATAATAATAATATACAGATTCATCTTCTCTGTTTTCCCTTCCTCTGTCCGGTTTCTTGTCCTGCTCCGTTTCTCACAGTCATTTGTTAACAGGGAGTTTGATAATGTTGTTTCGGGCACTACTTAATACCCCAATGCTACTTAAATTTTCTTTTCTATCATTAATTGTGCATTAATATATACATAATTCTTTATCAGTGAGATGATGAGTCATAACCTCTATCAGAAACCCATGTGAATGTATATATATATATATATATATATATATATATATTTTCATTGCTCTTTTAAAGGTTTAAATATCAGCGAAGAGAATCTAAAGAACGAACCTTTTGTGTGGAACCAAATAGAATCACTCCTAATGGAGGCAGAGAAATTACTGCAACTGTCTGTAAAATGAGAACAAAGTTTGAGAATATATTCTATGCAGCACGCCAACGAAAACATGATCATAAACCAATAGTGCAAATTGTGTCATTGGTGCAATGTGCTGGTGTGACAAAGCAAGTTTGCATATGATGGAAGAAAGATGTAATAAATTGGAAAAAAAATGTATTCGGATATTTTGATTAGAAAATGTATTAGGATATTTTGATTAGAAAATATATTAGGATATACAGATATTAATTTGTTTAAAATAAGAAGACTTTTGATATAAGCTAATGGAAATAGAAAATTAAAAAAAAAATGAAAAATACAAGACAACATAATAGATCCATTTTTTTAACAAGAAATTTATAAGTTCTTTAATTTATACCAAATGTATTTTTATTTGAATAAATATTTTCTTATCCTGATATATTTTGTATAATTATATCCGGAAATAATTTTTTCCCAGTAAATTTGTAATAACAAACCTTTATTCCTGATGAAATTTGATGTCGCCACTCAGCATTTTCCTGATAACGACAAGCATGCACATTCAAATGTCAAAATGTGTACCAAAAACACCCAAAAACTTTGCAAAAAAGCAAAGTAACCCCCCAAAAGAAGAAAAAAAAAGGGGCAAACAGAAAATAACAATTGAGTTATACCTTATATATGTCTGATTTAACACTGGTGCTAACCTCAATTGATTCCATACATTGGGCATCAAAATTGATCCACCGGTGCTTTCCACTTATGGCTACTTCTCCAATGGTTCTTCACAAAAATGCACAAAAAAAGGTGATAATTAGCCCTTACAATGCTATGTTAACGTGCAACTTTTGTTGTTCTTAATGTGCAGACTATTCATCTCAATTCTCGACACGTAAATGTCAAATAACTATATATAGATGTTAGCTTAGAAGAATGTTTTCATGAGCAAACAAAGTGAACTCATATTTTGGAGTTAAAATTAAATGAATCATATAGTTCATCTTCTTAACATTGAAATCTAACTTGTTACGTTGTTTTGGATATTCTTGTAACAAATGATACAGTAGATCTTCAGTTCTGCAATGCATCTCGTCTTGGCTTTTTAGTGCAAATAGAAGGAAATGAAAATAGAAAAATAAATAAATTAATTAACTACATCAAGAAGCTCTTTATAGCAAAATCAAATTTGAATTACATAATTGCACACTTACCATTTTAAAAAATAAATTAATTAATTCTTTATAGCAAAATCAAATTTGAATTACATAAGTGCACACTTACCATTTTAAGTCATGTGGAATGTCTACATATAATGTCATAAAAACTAGGCAATAGCAGACAAAAAAGAGGTCAAAATCTGAGAAACAAATATACCAAAAATTGCATTCATACCCTTGTCCAATCACATGAACATGATTAATCATCTTCTCAAAAATCCTCCCACTCTTTTCTTCATAGTAACTTTCCTCCAAAACGAGCAGGCTGGTAATCAGAGAATTATTAGAATGAACTGAAAATATAAAATAGTAAATATATGTAAAAAATCATAGCAACTCCCCCTAACCCCATCCCAATTTCCTATGAAAATTCCCAATCTTGTAGTCTAGGGTTGAAGTCTAAAGACAGGCACTGGCATATCCAAGAAAATCCATATTTTTATATCTTTTTTTTTAAATACGAATCAAGACTAAATTAAATTAAAACGAATAAAAGAGGTACATAGATATAAACCCTAAAAAGTCCACTCTACAAGGCAAAAAACTGAAGTTAAAAATTTTACAACCCAAAATTAAAATGAACAAAATACAGAAGCAAAGCTGTAAAGAGAAAAAATTGCAAGGGGGTTAAAAAATCAAGGAACAATAACCTCAAAAAGAACTCATCAAGACAACTACTTAAACTTATAAAAAGGTCTCTGAAAATTATTTTGTGCGGACGTTGAACACTATCCGGAGACCAATCAGAATGTGTCACGTCACCCCTACTCGATACAGCGGCTCAGTACTGTTCGGTACCGCTGACGTGGCTGTACCTGATTCGTCTCTAAACATATAACTGCGCCCGGTGTTTGCACAAAATAATTTCTCCAATTCTAAAGATAAAAACTCTACACAAAGAGACTTCTTCAATATGCAAACTCTACTCTCAAATACTAAAATTTTATGGCGTTAAATAGCTTAGTTGGTAAAAATGCTGTGATTTATTATCAATGTCTTGAGATCAAACTACATTAATATCAAATTTGTGTTTTTTAACATTTATAAAAAAAGAACAAAACAGTATAAAATTCATGGCACCGAAGCAGAGTATTGGAGTGCCTTTTCTAAATTTAGGGCAACTGGAAGACAGATAACTCGATAATATAAACATCAATTAAAGAAAACAAAAGTGAAAGCAATTGATCCAAAAAGCTGCCAGGTTCGTCCCATTGCGCCCAAAAAGCTAAGCTCAACTTACACGATAATCGATAGCAATTTCAGCCATTTCTCATAAAAGGTTCGAGCATTTATCAACCAACAAAATACCAATAAGTGCTATAATCAGCTGAGTAACGTTACGCTCCCAAAATTTAATCACTTATAAAATAATAAATTTTTTGGTCAATTGAGCGTTCTGGATGCGGGTCCCGTGACTCTAAACTTGTGTTGTTCATACGGATTTTATGCACATCAATCAAAACTTTTTTAAATTCATATTTGAAATAAAGTTCCCCCATTTGAAATTAAGCTATTTTTTCAAAAAAAAAAAGTGTTTAAGAATGATGTGAATGCAGCGTTCATTCTCTTCGACTGAATCATAAAAATCATGAACACAATAAAAAACAAATCCTATTTTGAAATATGGATTTATGTGAGGAATGTAACATTCTTTTGTTTTATTTTTTTAAGAATGAAACGTTATTTATCAGTGATCTCACATCTAGTGATTCTTTCCATTTACGCCACAATGCCAGCACTAGAAATACCCTCTTTTCTTTATAGTTATTTACACATAAAAAACCAACTGAATCCCAACAAAAAATCAGATCCATGGAAGAGTGGAATATCCACTCGATATAGTAGAAGATTAAAAAAATACAAAAAACAAAATAAAATCTAAACGGTGAGAACACGGCGACGAGCGTATGAACGCCGTCACTTACCGTGGATCCCGGCGATCAATACGCCAGAGCACGCCGTACGTCCAGCCTCCGCGACGGCAGAGCTCGTCAATTCCCTCCCCGTCCATCTCCACCGTCCCCGCCACGGCGGAGCTCAAATCTCGACGCGGGAACCTTCTTGTAACTTCCAAAACACGAAGAAACAAGCTTAGCTCGAACTTCGCACGCAAATGGACTGAGAGCGGCGGATTTTCAAGTTTCGAAGTATAATGGGGCGGGAAAGAGATTGAGGGGAAGGTGAGCTGGGTGCATTCTCTGGAGATTCGCCGGAGACGACAGGTGTTTAACGGCGAGGGTGGCTTTTTAGTATGAGTAATTTCGGGAGGAATGGGTTTTGGAGAATGTGTAGAATCTGGAGGGAGAAATGGGAGTGGAGGATCTTCATTCGCAGTTCTGAAGGCCAACGAGTAGCATATAAATTCTGGAGTGGGATTCGCTTCCCGTCAAAGACCGGCTGTAGCCGGTAAAGAGTATGGGTAGCGTTCGTTCTTCGGGTCGCAGAACCCGACACGGATTTAGACGACTGAGGATGTTTTTTTTTTTTTTGAAAAGATAGGGGCAAATATGTCCAATTTTATTCTAAAATTAAATAATTACAAAAACAAATGATTTGTAATAAAATTAACAAAGAAACACATACAAATCAAATACCAACAGCAAATTCCTATCAAATTCAGAAGAACCCCAAACAAAGAGTTCAACAATAGTGAATAGGAGCCTATAGGGAAGACCCCTCAAATCGATATTCAGACTTCCAACTGCACGACTGAGGATGTTCATATGCAGGGAGAAATTAGAGTTCAGACCGTCCGAATTTTGTGAGAACACATTATAAATATATAGTGTTTAAACACAATATATTTACTGGATACCCTCACAAAATTCGGAGCTATCTTACATTTAAACTCTGCACGTAATAATCTCTCCTGTGTTGGAGTTTGAATTGTCAAGCGAAAAAATTAGTTTGAGATATTAGAATTTAAATTTGATTATATTGAAAATATTCTTAGATGGCTATAATATAAATTAATTTTTATGATGTATTTATTTATTAGATTTTAATAAGAATTTGAATTTTAATATTACATAATGGGTAAAAAATATATTCATGCACCACACTCACAAAGTGAAATAAAACTTATTATTGTTGGTGTTGTTCAAAAAATGTAATAAATATAAAGTGCTTCTTGATATATTAATTTGAGCACAATTAAGATAACCTAAATTTTCTTCATTGTTTAGGGTCCCATTTTGAAGTATTTTGAATGTAAGATAAAAACAACACACTCTTAAAATTTTAAGCGTTTAATTTGATGAAAAAAAAATCTGAATTTCTTGTTGATGTATTTGAAATTTATTTTTTTAGCTCAATTTTATTCTATTTGGAATTGGCCCAAAGTAGACAAATTTCAATTACACCATCTTAGTGAGCTTCTTCGTTACCCTTTTTAAACATGATCGATAACAATCTCACCTCACTTTGTGCCATGCCATGCCCTGCTCGTGCCGCTACGGTCATCTCCAAAAACCTTCTGCACTATATATAACTTTCGACATTTGCCTCTGCTATGAGTAAGCTTCACCTCTGCTAGCCTCTCAACAGTGAAATTATTCTGTGCAGTCATCGGATGTCGTCCGGAGGCGAATCAAGACGCGTCACGTCATTTTTTTTGTTGTGTATCACTGTGTACTAGATGACGTGGTGTATCATAATTTGCCTCCAAAGAGAATAATTTCTCTTCTCAACAACCCTATATAAAGATGAGTCATGAAGGGCTCCACGCACTCCTAAAGTTTTAATATATATTATTTATATATTAATAAATCATGGTCATTTTATGTTAAAAAAATATTCCTATATATATTTTTTGCAATTATGCAATGGCAACTCATGCGAATTAATTCATTACATTAGTAAAAAGCAGTCATAATGCACATAAATAAAATTGAACAAAAATATATATTTTTTTTATTTTTTTAATGACATCAATGTATATACTTAAATAGGGAAAAAATACAAAACTTTTCCAACAGCGCTTTGAACCCTTGATTCGGACTCATTTGGGCTTGGATTGGGTTGATCTTGGTGTCGTTGGGTTCGTATTTCCGAGACGCTCAGTTTGACTGTAAGCTCGCTGAAATCGGACTTCATATGCTCCCGAAATTAATTTTTGAAGTTTCCAACTAGCTTTTGTCTCGAGATTCGTGCCCGATCAAGATAATTTTGATATGACGTATCAACCCCCTTAATTTTGTTCTCATTTTTATTCATTAAACCTTAACAATAACACTAATTTACAATTCACCCCCTTAATTTTGTTCTCATTTTTATTCATTAAACCTTAACAATAACACTAATTTACAATTCACCCCCTTAATTTTGTTCTCATTTTTATTCATTAAACCTTAACAATAACACTAATTTACAATTCACCCCCTTAATTTTGTTCTCATTTTTATTTTCACATTTCTTTTTTACTTCTTTATATATATATAAGGATATAGGGCATGGAAGCATAGTTACTTATGTCCACGATATTATTTGATCTTTTTTTTTTTCTTTTATATCAGTGTAGGAGAGTATATTATGCAAGGTAAGAGTATCAAAATCAGGTTACAAGTCGACACTGACCCGCTACAGTTTGAAACGACCTGAATTGACTCATTTTTACAGACGGGTCAAAAAATGCAATTCAGACCAGACTCGTCAGGTTTCCAGGTTGACCCGATCATACACGAATTGAAACCCTAGCTGAGCATCTATCTACGGGAGAAATTTCAATATATCTCATGTGGGATGCGTGAGGGAACGTCCTATCATCATCGTTACTTCCTTTTGTCATTGTCGTTGCTTGCGATCTAACTACAAAATGGTGTTATCCTTGTCGGCGTTGTCATTGCTTCCTCCTGTCATCAACGTTGCTTCTGATCTAACTACAAAACGATGTTTTCCCTGACGTCGTCATTGTTGCTTTAATTGTTGTCGTCGAAGGAGCCAAAGAACGGCGGGAAAAGAGGAAAAGAAAACCCTAGTAATCGAGTTTGTGCGGGACTGTGGGGAAATTGTCATCGTTACTTCCGATCCAACTGCAGATGAACGACACGAGTGTATGCAAAGATGTGAAGTGACTAACCACAAAGGAATCAGTTCTGTGAAGAAAAATAGGCTGAGATCTGGGTAAATTTCGGGTTAGTTGGTTGACTTGGACTTGACCCAACTTTTTAAATGGGTAGATTTTTGGAACCCTAACTCAACCCATCTGCCAAATTGGTTGACCCTAACCCGTAATTTTTAAGTTGTGTCAAATATTGACATCCCTAATGGAGGGTTCCTCCATCAGTTCCTACAACGAAGAAGCGATCGAGATAGTGAAATTCAAAATTGATGAGAATTTTTGTCATGGATGTATGCATTTTGGGGCCAAATAATTTTCCCATGTTGTTGTGTCATAAATCATTGCGTGCCTACATAAGCTTAAACTCAATGCAATGCTTCTCTTCTATTTCAAAATATATTTCATGAAATCATAAACATAGCTATGTGGACTAGTTTAAAAATGGCATAAATTCTCTATCACTTTGGTTCTCATGAATAACTAACAAGTAATTAATTCATACATAATAATTGTGATGTATATAAATGTGTTGTTAAAATCCAAGACAAAAGCATGCATCTATTCCCCTATATTTGATCATTCGTTTTCTAAAGCAAAACAATGCTGATGCATGCACATGCACAAACAAACTTGGCGAAATTTTCTCACTCCAGCAAGTTCTCCCTCGTTGACCACCAAGCCTATTCATTTTTATAAATTTTGTCAGTAGCCAGTTATAATATAATGTGTATGTAGACGATGTACCAAATGGTCTCATATTAAGATTTTTCTCATGTTTGCTTATTGTTTGCATGGTTATTAATGTCATGCAGCTATTGACATTCCCTCCCGACTACGACATTCCCTCCCGACGACGATGTTCCTTCCAGTCCGATAGCTTTGACAAGAACAACGAGACGAGTAGACGATGACATTCTTCCTCCCATTCGCACACTTCTTTGGCCTAACCCATTTCGTGTCGGGTCAGGACAACCCGAAAACTCTACAGGTCGGGTCAGGGTTGAATTTTATGACTCGTTTGTGAAAACGGGTCGGATTCAGGTCATGTCAAAAACCTTCGGATCAATTTTGAATTCGACCTAAACCTGATCACAATCCGATTTTGACACCTATCAATAATAAGCTGATGGCATTAATGTTGACGGAGAGTATAGACCTTATTCAAGATCAAGATAAATTACATAAGGTCTTGATTGATAATTAAAACTTCTAACTACCAGATCAAAATAAGTTAAGTGCCGTGTACTGTTTAGTTAGGGCGCTGGCGTAGAGCCTGCACAAGTTTTTATAATTTTGTTCCAGCTTAAATCAAATCATCATTGTTTGTATATGATTGAGAGCCTACCTAGCCGAGGAATATTTATGTGCTTTCTGCTCCTCTTTTCCGTTGCCTGCTGAGTAATAAATTTCAGGCTTGTCACCTTCCTATACCCTAACTAAGCTAAACCGCTTACTCTTTACAACTGCTAAAGCTGAGGATTGGAGAGAGAGAAAGAGAAAGACAATTTTAATTTTCACATCGTAATCATAATTTTATTTCGCTTTTATTTTTCCACTGCTTTTAATAAATTTTTGTATTAGGAAGTTATTTTCTACAACAGCTTTCTAAAAAATCGCTTTCTTCATAACAGTGTTAAAATTTTTTTAATATAAAGTTGCATTCTTCCCAAACATATTTTAAATTAGATTTAAGTTTTATTTGGGACGATTTTTTAATTGCTTCTTAAAACAGTTTTTTAGTTTTAAAATTAAAATTTTTATATTAAAAAACTGCTTCAAGAAGTAGTAAGAAAGTCGTCCCAAACGAAGCCTCAGAGAGATAGCATCTGATAAATAGTAACTAGATGTACAACTAATTGGAGTGAATGAGACGCATGTACATTGAAGGAAATTGAGGAGATGATATCCTATAAATCATCATTAGCGAGTAATTTTTAAGTTGGAATATTTTGATGAATATTTTATAACACTGAATTTTAAATTTATTTAATTTATTATAAGAAAATTATAAAATATGTAGAATCAATCAAAATTATTTTTATATTTATTTTAAAATAAATCAAATAATTTTGAGATCTAACTTAGTAATAAATATTTGCATTTATTAATTTCGTAGTCTCTATTACCCACAATTTCGTATGTAATATGTGTATAATATAAATTATATATAAAGATTAAACCCCCCCCCCCCTCTCTTACAAGCATTCATCTTACCTCATGAGTTACATTTACTAGCAATTTCCTAAGTTCTGACTATTCAAACAAGGTTTTATAATATTTTGTGCTGCTGCTACTTAAATTTGACTCGCAGAACAAAAACATGGGATCCTATCTATCTCTGTAATTTGGTGTAAACGGTATATTAATTAAGCATTATTAATAATAATAATAGAGCACGTCATCATAAGCATAATCACCATTATCATTTGGCTTATCCGAAAAAAAAAAAAACTAAGGCTTCATTTGGGACGGTATTCTTACTGCTTTTTAAAGCAGCTTTTTAGTACAAAAATTTAAATTTTGTACTAAAAAGCTGCTTTAAGAAGCAGTAAGAAAGCCGTTCCAAAAACAGTTTTATTTTTCATATCGCAATAATAGTTTTTGTTTGACTACTATCTTTTCATTAATTTGAAGTAATTTTTATGTTAAACACAATTCAATTAAATAGTTAGATATTTATAAGTATAATTATAACAAAATATTATGAATGTTCAATAATTTAACTATATTATTTTTAAAATTAAGTTTATTTTATCTAATAATTTAGTTATATATAATATAATTTTCTTACCCCTCTCTCTCTCTTTCTCTATATCTCTCTCTCTAGCTACTATTTCAAGCCAATGAGTAACATATATCGCTATAGCTTTTACAAAACATAAAAGTTAAATTTCCATTATTCCTGGCATCAAGGGCCTATCATTTTGTCTCCGCAAACTTTACTAGGTGCTACCCCTTCATCATAGCCGTCCACTGCAAGGTCAATGAGATAAAAAAAAAAAGGTGTTATGCTGATCTATTTCTTTTGCAAAAGACCAGAGAATGCGTTGATAAAAAGAATAGATAGAAATAGTAACTCGTTATATCTAAACAAAGCAAGAGATAGATTTTTAGTAGTGCGCGCACCCCTTTAATAAATTTTTTAAATACTAATTTAAATAAATAATTAATTAAGTATATAATGGGTAATTTACATATATATCTTAGTGAATTATAATTTATTTTTATATATAATATCTAAATCTTTATATTTATGTAACATCCTAATTAGGTCTTCCACCAAGAAAAAACCCAAGAGAGAATAACTTCACTCATTTTTTGTCAACCCCAAAACCCAAAAAAAAAAAAAAAAATATTCATTCTATTAATATTTAATTAATATTTAAACTATTATTAGAAATGATACGACATCGCAAAATCATCTTGATCGGGCACGAATCTCGAGGTAAAAACTAGTTAGAATCATTAAAAATTAATTTCGGGAGAATATGAACTCCGATTTCAGCGAG